TAGTAATAGAATTCAACAAGTCATATTTAACGATACTCTTTCCGACATAATCAATGTTCCTTCAGGTGTTCCTCTTGTTATTTATTAATGACAAATCATCTGTTGTTAAGTTTTCAAAAGTTTTCTTGTATGCTAACGAAGTAAAACTTTTTAAATCATTCCCTTCGAATAGCGAAAGATGTCAGTTGCAAACAGAAACAATCTCGTTTCTTGGTGTGTTAGAAATGACATGCCATTAAACCTTAAAAAATGTAAAACGATGTGCTTTTCATGTAGATCTGTAGACCCTACTTCATACGTAATACAAAACTTTAGGTTGGAGCAAGTATGCAGTTTTGCTGACTTGGGAGTAACTATGGACAACAAACTCAATTTTAATCTTCACACATCTTCCATGGTTTTTAAAGCTAAAGGTGCTCTTGGTTTTGTTAAACGTTGGTCTAAAGAATTTAGAGAACCGCTTACCACAAAAAATCTTTTTACATCTTTGTGAGGCCTATATTAGAGTTTGCTTCCGTGGTATGGAACCCTTGTTATCAAGTTCATTCTGAGAAACTAGAGTCCGTTCAAAAACAATTTTTACTTTTTGCCTTAAATCATTTGCATTGGGATTCCAGTTTAAATCTTCCCCCTTACACTAACCGTTTAAAGCTTATATATCTCCCTACACTCGCTRGTCGTAGGGAAATGCTTGGTATAATATTTCTCGTAAAACTCATCAATGGGTCAGTCTGTAGCCCATCTCTCTTGTCTGATATTAATTTTAACATTCCCGCTCGCTCTTATAGACAGCTTAGACCTTTTCTTTAAAATTTTCTAGAACAAATTTCGAGTTAAACGAACCATTCCGCCGTATATGTCACGATTTTCATTCCAGCACATTTGATCTAACAGATTCACTCTTTACCATTAAAAAATTATTTTATCTAGTCTTAACATATAAACTTAAATTATAAACTTTAATATAATTCTTAATTTTGGCAGTTGAAATTTTTGTTTCTGTAGCTGAGCAGCTTAAGATCGCAACGCTTAAAACTCCCTTGCCTTTTATGACTCAGCTAATTCCGCTCGTTCGCGGATTGCGCCCCTCGCGTCGGTTGGGCGGGAGGAGGGTAATCTTTGGGTATTATTCTGAGCAGGTTTAATAAATTTATTTGCTGGGTAACCATCGGTTTGAAGTCATAATGATAAACATCAGTATTTTCGTGGAGGTTTTTCCCAAAATATATGTCTTTTGAGAGCAAACACAATTTGTTTAAAGATCGCTGAACGTGTGCACATTTTGACTACTAGAGCTTGGAAAAATAAAATTTATAAAATTAATAGAGAGCAATTTCTCAAATATTTTCTTAAGTTGTTTTGCATTGTAAATATGAAGATCTGCCTTTATATACAAGAAGGCAAACACTACCTAACAAAAACCTTGTAGCGATTTCCGTTTGGAGAAAATTTTTCTTGTTGCGCTCGCTATCTATTCGAAGACAATTAAAAATGACCCAAAGGAGTGAATGAACGACGCAACTTTATTTGTGAGCAGCTACACTCTTTGCACGCGCATACTCACGTACCATATATGTACAACCCTGGTTATAAACGAAATAAAAGCGGCAGTAGAAAGCTTGCTGCTCGTTTCAGAAAGTTGCAGCCATCCGTCACCGTCGCCGCTACATCCGGACCGAGTGCAACAGACGAGCGTGTGCTAGTCATCTTTCGTGCATTTCGGCTTCGTCTTGAAGTAAGGATGTAGAGCGTGGCATAGACTTTGTTTGACAATTTGGTCAGTATTTACAAAAGTAAATATTTATTGAGAGTGAACACTGCCCTAGCTCCTCCGGGCGCTAGCTTTGACCACTGTGCCACCAAGTCATTCTCTATTACGGCAGCTCTGTGGTGCGCCTCCGGCAAACAGTGACATAGAAAAAGAGCGTCAACTAAAGTCCCAAGTACACTCAGTAAATGCTTGCACCATCATCGTCCTGACGCACCGGTGTAAGTTAAAGTGTGTGTGTGTGATTGTTTGTACAAAAGGCACAAAGCCACTCAGCCTGGAGCTAGAAGATAATTTTTTGATAATATTAACATCCTTTTCGGTGTTGCACCAGCAAAATGTCTATTGCATATAAATCAGTTGAATTTGTTGAAGGTTGCTGGCTCAAACAAGGCGCACAAGCACTGTGTATCATATTTGCGCACTTCCGGGCAAATGGCATTCTGATGTGTTCGCACTGAGACTTGCTCTTAACAATGTGCACGTGCACAACTATTGGATGTACATGGACCGAAACGGCTCACAAAGGTCTCTATTCAAAATTAAAATATTGAGTTTACGCAAATTTTAATATTGCTAATTTTAAGCACCAATTAGCTTGTGTTCCGCAGTGGTACTGTCACTCTCAGAAGTTGGACGGCGGTAACGATCTAAAGCCTCTAATTTCAACATGGTATGCTATTTCTCTTCCTCTGTTTGTTTATTCAATTACGCATTGCTCTAATCCGCGTTTATTAAGAGTTTTCCACGACGCAAAATGCATTTTCGAAAATTTAAATTGCAATTCTGAAGTCTGTTTAAAAACTATGCGAACAAAGTGAACTAACTACTGTGAATGAAAGTATAAATTTCTCTCTCTCTCTTCAATCTCTTGTATGACTTCAAAGTAAGAAGAGGCTTCTTAAAGAAGAGACAAAACACGTGGAAAATTCAGTCTCTAAAAAGATGTAAGATACTGCAATGCATTATATGGACAATTGTATATCATTTATATTTTTCTAGAAAAGAATTTTGTGTGTGTCAATATTTCTACATAGGAAAACATTTAATCGGAATAATATGGAACAGCACTTCAACAGACTGTACAAAAGCATTTGTCATGTGAAAATGTATTTTTAACGAAAAATATTAATTAAATCATAAAAGTGATGCAATTTTGAAACTTTAGAACACTTCGTACGTTTAAGTAATTTTTTACATAATAAGGTTGCAAGAATTATCTATACATTAATAAAATATATGTATCTACTAGCCCAACATTTTTTGTTTTGTTGGTACACTGTTCATATGAACGTCGTTCTTTGTTTACAAGCCATTTAGTGTCGCCGTGTCACAGCAGTTTTTACAATGGAAAATATTTAATATCGTGCAGTGATAAAATTCTTATTTTTGGAAGGTGTAGCACCAAAATAAATTCACGTATAATGATAGTTCACCCATAATTAGAACAGCAGGAAGATGGGTCGCTGAATTTAAACGTGGTCGTACAAGCCTTGAAGATGATCCACGTTTAGGATGTCCAAAAAGCGCATCAACAACTAAAATACACGATATGGTTTTGGAAGATCGTCGATTGACTAAGAGAGATTTATTAGAGGCTCTGCACATCTCGTTAGGCAGAGTCAGCCATATTTTAAATGAAATTTTGGGTTTTAGAAAGCTGTGTGCACAATGGCTGCCGCATTCGGTAACAATTGAACAGAAACACACTCGAATGCGATTTTCCCAGCAACATTTGGAGCGTTTTAAAAAGGATAGAATGGATTTTGTACGTCGATTCATCACTATGTATGAGACTTGGGTCTATTACCATGATCCTGAATCAAAACAAGAGGTTAAAGAGTGATGTAAACCTGGTTGTCCGGCTTCGAAACGAGTTCGTGTCCGGAAAACGGCCAAGAAGATTATGGCTTAATTTTTTGGAATGCGAGAGGAATTTTGTTTGTGGGTTACGTGCAAAATGGAAAACCAATTAATTATATACTAATACTAATATTATTGCAACCTTTTGGACCAGTTGAAAAAAAATCTTGAAAAAAGCCAGTTTATAGATGATAAACTCAAAATCAATGCACCGTGTCAAAAGAACATTTTGACAATGGCTGAAATCCATGAATTAAAGTTCGAATTATTTTGCAGCATCTACCGTATGCACCAGATTTGACCCCCAGCGACTTCCATTTGTTTCCAGAATTCAAAAAGTTTATGCGTGGTAAGCATTTTTAATCAAATGAAGAGTCAGAGAAATGAAGTCATAACAGCAGTGGAAGCGTATTTTGCAGACCTTCCTAACTCTCACTTCAGGGATAGGATCCACACATTGAAGGATTGTTAGAGCAAGTGTATTAATGTTCAGGAAGATTATATTGCATAATAAAGTTGATTTTGATTTGTGATTTATTTGAGAACTTATTGAACAACCTGGTATTCTAGTACTATGAGCAAAAAATAGTAAGACTTTGTTAATAATTTTAAAAGTCTTAATTTATTATTTAACACCTCGTCCCTCTTATATAAATCTTCCTTGGCCCCAAAACACTTGTGTTAACGTTTTGGCCGATTTTCGGAACAGTTGTTAAAGTTAATTTCCTTTGCTTTAAATGCGCTTAACGATTCATGTTTAATGTCCTCAATTGTGTTTTTTCGTGTTCCACACCTCGTTAATCGAAAAAAGTGTCCACGTAACTTTGAGTTGCTTTGACTCGTTTTTTCGGTTTCGGCTGACCGTTGTCACGACATCCAGTCGATTGATCGTCATTCTGGGGGTCGAAGGCGTAAGTCCAAAACGCATCGCTAGAAATAATACGTTTCATGACATTGAGGTACTCGGAAAGCACTGTTTCACGGATATTAACGCTGTTTTTTCTAAAAAATTTGGTGATTTTGGAACCAATTGTGCTTTAACTTTTCTTAGGCCTGAATGATATTTCAAAATGGTTGTGACTGATACTTCCGATATTTCAACAATGCCTGTAAGATCTCTAACTGTTGATCATCAGTTAATGTTGATGGCCGGAAGGTGGTTCGTCGTCAAATCATTCTCGACCCTCTTTGAAAAATTTGTAGCAATCAAAATCACTTGCTCGCGTTAAGCTATTATCACTGCAGGCCTTTTTATTATTCGGCACGTAAAATTTAAAGGAACTTTTTATTTGCTGTTACATTTGGCACATATCTCACTGAAAGTCATGTCAACCTAGAAATTTAAATGAAAAAGGCTAACTAAAAGTCAAATAAGGGTTACCTTTTAAAGAAAAAATTTGTGAAAACGTTTATATTAATTTTGATCAGTCTGCTTGAATGACAGTGTATATGCTATTGTAGTCCGATAACGACGGTTTCAATAAATGAGTAGCTTTTTGGTAAAAAAGCAGGTGTGCAAAATTTCAGATCCATATCCCAAAAACCTGGAAAGACAGAAAGACGGATAGGCTGACGAAAAGGACTATTTGTTTCTTAGTTTTACCGTTGTTCTCGTAGTTTTGTAGGAAATACAGACATAATGTTTCTAATCACGACATATTCATCTTCCTTCTGCACCCAAAACAGTGAACGAATTTCGTGGGTTGGTTAGTGGATGGAAATAAGAGATCGAAATAATGCCGATCGTATCGTTCGTATATAAGCCGTCATTAGACTCTTCCAAGTAAGCTTTAACAATAACTCGCTGGGTTTGACAAAATTCGTACTTTTATTATATTTTCTTAATCTTATTTTGCAGGAGACGATATATTTAAGAATATACACAGAAAATTTCATATCGTTCCGGTGAACATTTTCGAAGCTGCTGGCAGACTTGAAAAGGCGATTCAGAGTCAAGGACAAGACCAACTTTAAACAGGTTTTTCTCAAAATGGTTTTTTTAACATTTGTTGAAAACAGCTAAGCCGATTAGTCTCCAATTTTAACACGAGCTTTTTAAGTATATGTAATTACTAAGATTTTTTTTACCGATAATTATTTTTCTTTAAATAATAATTTCAAAAATCGATTTTCTTTAGAGAAATGACGGCATTTTATCAACAAAATGTATTTTGCTTACCCTTCGACTTGCTTTACTATATTGAACATTTCTTTAACGAAAAAAAAATCTGTTTGACTTTTTAATTTCAGAGGAACCAGTTCAGAGATATAGTGGCCATCGCAAAACTCTTTTTTGAGAAGACCTTTCGGAGATAAGCTGGAGTTTCTTTCCAAATAAATATTTTTACTAATACTATCTTTTAAAATACAGTTAAAAGATGGTATTATATGTGTACGAATTTTTCGATCAATAAATTTAAAAGTTTTCTCAGGAAAAAATCTGAAAATTTTTTTTTTAGGCCTTGAAACTGTATATGACCCCTTAAATCTAATCCTCCTTAGCAGACATGACGAGTTTTTATAATAAAATCGAACCAGAATTTTGTATCTAGTGAAGATATAAGCGATAAATACCTACACTAGGAATATGTATCTGTATGTATGTATATATCAAAGTTGGTAAGATTGACTTTAAGCTGCTTCTGCTTGTTTATTTTGTATTTGAAAGGATTTGCAGAGTTTGAAGTATGGAATAAGTTCATTGCATTGTTTTTCATTTTCGAAATTTTTGGAGAGTTTTTCTTTTATATTCAGCATTCTCTTCCATTCCTTGTTCAGCAGTAATTCTTGCTGCATTTGCGCACCTTAACGAATACCTGATCAAAGTACATCTTTATCCGCACTTTGTTTGCTCAGAAAACATTTCCTGTGCGTTTTGCATAGCAAACTCAATTTGGCCATTGTCTTCTGCACAAAACGATGTCCGCATTCGTTATTCTCCTTACACGCCCGCATAGAAATTTGTCCATACACATACATACACATACAGACAAATTGGCGTATGTTTGTGGGTGTGTGAAGGCATTTCTTAAGAAATTTTCCAAATTCAATTCGAACTGTACGATTGCTCACGAACGGCTAAGAATAACAAAAACAAACAAGATTTTCTGCGAAATTTGCAAGTGTGTGTTTACTGCCCGAAAGTGCAGCCAACACTATTTAACACAAATATGCATGGCACACGAAAGCTCGCAAATTTGCAGCTGCATGAGCTTTTGTACTTGCAAGTGCCGGTGTGATACCATTGGGATAGTTATTCCCAAAGAATTGGAAGGATAATAATATTATGGTAGAGCAACAACAACAACAMTCTTAAGAGTGCTCATAGAAATACACTTGGTTATTCGAACTCGTATGTGAAAGTTGTCGGAAAGCAGCGACCCCGTGAGTTTATATGCAACAATGCTGCCTTTCCGATACTGAAACTAATAATCTAACCGCTTAGTGAAAGAAATAATGAGTGATATTCATAATTTAAGCTTTAAGTCGCCGATCTCTTTTGATTACATAGAAGTTTCTTGCTTAACATGAAAGGACTGAGAGTTACCTTTATTGTGTGGAGTTTTTAATAATTTCTGTGATTTAAAGATTTTCATTAGGCAGCAAATTACCGCTTAACTGTTAAGAGAGTTTAAAGTTTATCTGTAGGATCATTTATAGATAAATTTTGTGTTTCAGATAAAAATATTTGTGTGTAGTGTCTACCAAATGCAGCTGCGCCGGACAAATGCTGAGCCCAAACACTTAGCAAACTCGCGGTTGATGAAACGTTACGTATACGCCTGTTGCGGCCAGCACTCAAATGCATTATAGCAGTACACATGCAACGATAAAACTCCCGGAGCATGTTGGCGAGTGGAGAATAGTGGGTAAGGCAGCGTGGCCAAAGAATTTTGTCACATTGCGGCATGCGGCTGAAATGTTGGCTGTTGCAATCTGTTGCTATAAATTGCCTCACCAGTGCGCATTTTTCGCGTGAGCGTCGCGTGTTGACGTGTGTCTTCTCCCTTCACGGCGCAACGCTCATTTTTGATACTTCGTTTACCGTTATACATATGTACATGCGTAATCTTGCCTTCGGGTAAACATGTGCCGACAAACGGGGCAACTCACAGCAAATAGAAGCTCAGCGTGCTGGCGTGCTGGCGTGCAGAGGGGCGGATTGGAGGCATTGAAGTGTTATCAAAACCGAAAGTTAATTACATTTCGTTACGGTAAAGCCGGTTCGTGCCGCAGCACTATACCATAGCATGTCAACGAGGTGGGTATGTGTAAAAACTTTTGCCTCGCGCACACACACTCACGCGTGGGTATGTTCTTGTTTGCTCCCGCACATACTCCGTCGCCAGACTAAGCTCTTATGTTTATGTAAGTTTTAACCGCATTGTCAGACTGTGTCAAACTGGTGATTATTTAACGTTAATTTGTTGACACATTAACTTGTGGATTGGTTCAAGTGCTCGGCATGCAAAACTGGGCTTCGGCGCTAGGAAAAACCAACACATTACCCATTTTTATGCTCCAGTGCTCTTTCACGACGAACATTTGTGTGTCATGCTATGGAGTGTGTACGCAGACAGTTTAAATTTAATGTTGATGCGTGTTATTCGGTCGTGCTACATCCCAAATCGGCCTTGTCTCAGCGGCATATTGATTCTAAAGACATTGCTAAATGCCATTTTGCGGCTGAAACTTGGCAAATTTACCCCTGCTTGGCTACGCAAACATGCCAGCTACTGGCGTAGTCAAATAACGCTTACAAATGGAGAAGCATCATTTAGGGGACTTTTCTTTCGCACTACCTTCCAATAGAATTGCCTTGGCTGAAAGGGGTAGTACATACACACTATAGGGATACGCCGAAAGGCTTTTGGACCAATGTAACTAATGGTTTTAAGTGCCAGGTGCACAGGTGTCTATTGAGAGGGTTTTTTGGTTAAAGGAAAAAACGTGGATTTCGTTTATGAACTCAAGCGTATTCCAAATTGGTAATTAATTGAGGCAGAGAGCTTTCGGTGAGTCAAACATCAAAAAAGGAGAGAGAAGAAAGTCATTTTAGGACTCCAATTTTCTTCTTCAGAACAATAGAAAAGTGGTGTAAATATAGCAGTGTAACCTTGCTTTGGAGAGATGGACATTCAAACTGACAGCAGAAAAAGAAATCTGATCTTGAACTCACTGATTGACATCGAGCTCCTTCGTCATCACAGTACTCAGATTCAGGGTTAGGGTTCGAAAGAGATCGCTAAGCTTTTCAAAAACAATTTTTTTCGTAAGAACCCACTTTGCCGCTCGAAAATTATAGAAATTCTTTGAAAGAAAGTGATATATAATAATTTCGTCACTTTTTATGACTCTCCAGCTGTCGAAACATTAGGGTTGAAAAATAATTGTGCTTTCACCACCGAATTAGCAAAAATCGAAAATTAGTAGCATCAACGTCGAACTATCTTTAGAGTTTCTTGGTATCAAAAAGAACAGGCTTAAAGCCATTCAAGTAGGATCCTGATGAGCTCACACAGATCGGAATATAATCGTTACAATTCTTTACCAGTGTGTAGAAGAGCAAATCGTGGAAATAGTTTGTAAAGCTGCTAAGTAACTCAAAGCTACTTTGCAACCATCACAGTTACGCCATTACTCTGCATATTCTGCCCTTGAAATTGAAATAGGACAGTAATGCTTTTCCTGTACAGCTTTTTAACTGATTCGTAAGTAAGAGTTTTTGTTCTTGATTTATTGCTTAAAGATGTAAAGTAAACTTTTTATTACGACTACAAACAAACGTAAAATGAACATTATATACTTGAGCAATAATCAACGGTAGTTTATCAATTAATTACAGCAAGTGGCTGAATAAAAAATAAATACTCTTTTCATCTGCCTTTAAGAAATAATATTTGCGGCATTTGTCACATATTTAAGACTTGGCACGGCGCGAGAGATGCAAAATGACTGCGCTACTTATCCTCAACTTTGCGCCAGCAAACGTGAGCAAGTGGCAGAGAGGAAAGGCACATGACATGCCGCAATCGCATTGCGAGTATTTGTTTAAACGGATTTATGGAAGATGCTTAATTATATAATGATATTCTGCCTTATGTCATTAACGTTGCCAACACTTGAGCCACTCCAAAGTTGTCTGCCGTCGGCAATGTACCTGCCTCGATTGTTGTTGCTGTGCATTACCCGCTTGCGCTGTCGCTTATTGCCACTAATGCGCCGCGCTTGATGATGGGCTTGTTGGAATATTTTATGCAAATTTTTGTTTACCATGCCTCGTATTGCAGCATGGCGAAATGGAGCGTGGGGAGGGATTAGAACCCTCCATGCATTTCGCTGCAGTCCAACCACACTCAGTGTTAGCAACATTTTCAACAGCGCTTTGAAGAAATGTGTAGGCTTTTACAACACATGCCTGTGAACTGTTGCTTTCGATTTACAGTAGCACCAACGAATATTCGGACAAAAGATCACAAAAAAAATATTTTTTTTTTTATTTTATTTGTACACTTTCGTTACGGAAATTTGTAATAATGTCATTTCCCAGTAATAATGTATTTCATGGCAAAAAATATAAAATTGGTTTAATGCTTCCACTAGCTCCATACACCTGACAAAGTTTTTCCTGTGGACTTTTCGTAATTTGAGTAATATTTATGTAATTTAAGTGGACAAGGTTTATTATAAATAATATGTTTTATCACAAAATATGAATTAAGTCGATCCAGACCTTAGTCTAAGTGTCTATAATGGTAAAGACTAGATATACCGGGTTTTTGAATATGAAATAAAATGATTTCTGAGTGTCGTTTCTGCCATTTGTAATACCTGTAAGTCAGGATCGGTATCATGTATACAATTACATAGTGGAAAGATATACACGAGAATAACGTTTTCAAATTATTCAATTCTTTTATGAAAATAATGTTCTTCAAAAGCAAATTGTCCAACTGTGCTCGCTATTTCGAGCGCACATTTTCTTTAATGTTGTAAAGAAAGAAGAAAAAATATTATCATTCGGGAAAGTTGCTGAAGACCGCTATTTGTCAATTACAAGACGATCTCAAGAACTGGGACTGTCTCAAAAAACCTGTCGGATTTTGAGAAAGGATTTGGGCTTTCATCCGTATAAAGTTGTTCTCACTCCAGAACTGTATCTATTGGAACACCATAAACGTCGTGAATTTGCTGATTTAGGCTTGGAATAACTTGAAACGATAGCGATTTATTTAAGAAAATCATCTTCTGCGACGAGGCTTACTTTCATCTGAGTCGTGTGATAAACAAGCAAAACTGTCGACTCTAGTGCGAAGAAAATCCACAATCA